GTTCATTTTAACACCAAAAGTTTTTTGTGCTTTCTTTCAGAATGATGTTCACCTACTCAATCACCTTCATTTTGTAATCTTGATGATTTGGAAACGATCAAACAAAGGAGATAACTGAAACAAAAAGATAATTTTTTGATAAGACACCTTCTGAAAGTGAATTTGAAAAAGAAGTAATTGTAAGATGAAAGCAAAAGGAACCTGTGTTCAGAATATGAGCGATTGCATTCAAATACTGATCGAAACGACAATTGAATATTCGATCACGCATCACAGCAGTCATGTCCGACATTGGATCTTCGTAAAACATTTGCATATCGGGGATACGGAAGCGTTTTGGGAACTGAATATTTATTGAAATTTGGGTCGAATCTAAATGCAGAAAAGAGAAATTTAAATCAAAAGTGCATTGTGCAACTCATTCGTGCATGAAACTTTGCACTTCATAACTTTATTTCATAATTCCTTCATCACCATTACAACCAAGGATAATTGGTGGCTACTCTCGCATTCGGTAATTCTCGACCACTTCAAATTTGGTTGCAAATTTACGAAGTTGGAATTTACTGTCTGATTCAGTCAAGCAATGAGATGTGCTTGAAACCGCTGAAATCTGAAGTTAAAGCAACAATAAACAGAAAAATGCAAAAGTTGAGGAATATTCGGTTTGAATTATTAAAAAGACTCACAAGATGGTAGAAGTTTCGCATGTCATTACCGTAACGATCAATCAAAATATGCTCCATTTTGAACTCTGGCATGAAATAAAATCCAAGTTGTTCGGCCAATTCACGTGCAGTTGTGGTCTGAACTGTTCACTTCGTTATTGAACTTGAATTGCAACAAAAAGTGCACGAATTTAAAACCGTCATGGGGAAAACCAAATATTTTTTCCAGTTTTCCAGTAAGTGAAACCCAAATGCATGGAAACATCATGACAGTGTAAGTGATTTCTGCTGGAAAACATGGACGAATAAATCAGGCAGCAAACCTTGTCAGATCCGACGTTCCCCTCGACTACAATCAGTTTTGAATTCTGATGAAATCGTGGCTGAGTTCGATCAATGATTGCATGCCAGAAATTGAAACTGAAATGATTGATTTATGAACATGAAATGGTTCCATCAAAGCTAATATTCATTCCACGTTGACATTTTCATCCGAGTAACAGCAAATGTG